TCCATTCGTCGACACCTTCATCAAAGGATCCATACAAAGCTCTTGGGGTCTCCAAAGACGCGTCTGCCAATGATATAAAAAAGGCTTACTTTCAGGTATGGCTGACGTTTTGGGCTGGCAAACCATTTTTGAATGACAAGGTCTATCCTACGACGTAGCTGGCCAAAAAATATCATCCGGATACAAATAAGGATCCAGCATCAAAGGAAAGGTTTCTAGAGATACAAAACGCGTACGAGGTAGGGACTTTTGGCCATACGCTATAAAGTGCTAAGCCCTCCCCCTCTCTGCAGATCTTGGGTGATGAACAGAAGAAACAAGCTTATGATACGTACGGTGAAGCGTCACAACAGCCTGGCTTTGATCAGAATCCGTTCGGTGCTGGTAATCCATTTGCCGGTGCGGGAGGGTTTTCTAGAGGGTTTGCCGGCTCGGGTGGCACTGTGGAAGATCTATTTTCAACATTATTCGGTGGGGGTCCAATGTCGGGGAGAGCTCGAGCTTCAACTCGCGGGGACGACATCGAAATATCTATATCGGTATCATTTATGGAGGCGGCCAAGGGAACGTCCAAGACAGTGAATGTCACCCCCGTCAGTGACTGTTCGACGTGTACTGGAACTGGAATGAAGACTGGAAAAAAGAGAACACAATGCCCGACATGCAGGGGGACGGGTCAGCAAACCTTTGTTCTGAACAGCGGGTTCCAGATGGCCAGTACCTGCTCTACCTGCCAGGGAGCCGGTTCTACAATCCCTCGTGGTGCAGAATGTGATGATTGTGGCGGTGTAGGAAAAATCAAGTACAGGAAACAGGTGAAAATCGAAGTGCCGGCAGGTTGGTCACGAGTCCTCTTTTTTCATCTCGTCCCCTGGGCTTCTCCCTTGCTTTCTTTGAGATTGCCGCTGGTTTTGGCGAGCTTATCGTATTCATTCCACGTCCACGCGCCTTTTTCGTTATTCAAACGCTGTGATCTTTTGGTGGCTTGTTTTGACTGATGCAAATTTGTTTGCCTTTTCGACAGGAGTCGAAGACGGAATGACCGTGCGTGTACCTGGGGAAGGTGATGCGCCCATGTCGACCAGAGGATCAAACGGCGATCTTCTAGTCAGGGTGAATGTCAGCAGTTCAAATGTCTGGCGACGTCAAGGTACCAACCTATACTATGACGCTCCGATACCTCTCCACACGGCCGTCTTGGGTGGAAGGATTCGAGTGCCAACTCTCGATGGCGAGGTAGAAGTCCGTGTGGCACCTGGCACGCAGCCTGGTGAAGATGCCGTTCTGCGGGGCAGAGGAGTACAATCCGTCATGCACAAGGCAGCAAAGGGAGATCTATTCATTTCGTACATGGTCCAAGTCCCCAGGTTCGTGTCCAAAATTTCTCTCTTCCACACTATCCCAAAAACTCTGCTTGTCACAATCCCGTCCCTGTTCCAAGTTAAACGGAGGGCACGTAATAGTGTCCCTGTTTCTATCCTTAAATTTATTCATTTTTTATTTTTTTTGCCGTGTCCTCCGTTTTTTCGTCCCTTCATTTTACCCCGCAAGGACGGCCCGTATGCCATGCGACGGCTGACTTTTTTGACGGCTTTGTTTCGCTCTCGCTACATTTTGTTCACGCCTCCCCGCCCTGTTCCTTCTCCACGCGGCCGCTACGCCACTGACGACTTTTTCCGATTTCCAAATTTTATATACTGAAATTTTAACTAACGCGCGGTTTTTTCCCTCCTTCTTGCAGGAATCTGAGTCGCCGTCAGAAAGAATTGATGCAACAATTTGCGGATGAGGTAGAAGGAAGAGCCCCCGCTCAGACTCCCAATTCGTCTTCGTCGTCGACAGGCTCCACTGCTAAGAGTAATAGCACGTCGGCATCAGACCCGCCATCGCCATCTGCGGCCGGGTCTGGCCCATCAACCTCGGC